TCTAAGGAAGGACAAATGGTGAACTGGAGACAGGGTCATGGACGCCCACGGCTCACTGATGATGAGGTTGACCTACTGTAGATTAAACTTTTAACTTCTATTTGTACTTTTCAAAAGATTCAAATTTATTTGAATCTTTGTTAAAATGGTTGAAAATGAGAAACACTGTCCATTGGTCTCTATGAAGAGAAAGAGTCAGGGGCTGTAGTGGTGATATCACACCTAGAGTGGTGAGGCTGTTGGATTTGTCTAAAAAATTCTCTAACTCGTCCTCACAACCACAGTTTTCACTCCTTTTACATAAGTTTTTCACTGAATTGTAGACACATCTGTGCTCTTCCTGACAGAACTGTGGAAGCAAATGGATTCACAGACGATGCACAGTGAGCTGCAGAGTGACACGAGTGCCAACCAACTGCCACATTGACTCCTATGTAAACAATATTAGATAGGTGGTCATAATGTTATGCTGGTGTATATGATGTCCTTAATTCCATCATCAATTGACTTTTTTTTAAAAGATAAAACATGTATACTGGTGCTCTCTGGTTTCAACTTTTTTTTTAAGATTCATGTTCTGTCCTCAAGGTTGGTGACAAGTAATTACACCAGAGTAATGTATGTATATTTGGTAAGTCAGTTTTAACTGCTCTATTGTCAGTTTAAATGGCCTATTTCTTCTGTGCATTCTATTTTATTGACTGCTGTCTGTAAACAAACTGCTCCTCTGGGGACATTAAAGCTGTACTCTATACAGACAGTCCAGATGGTGAAGAGCAAAAACATGACACATCTCATGATGTCAGCATAGCAGGGGCTGAGTTTACAGATCACAGTTACCACATAGTACTTAATGTTTATTGAGCCTGAGGGTGTTGTCCAGTTTGACAGACCAAGTATGCGCTTCAAACAACTTTACTGTCTCACTGTGACAACACCTAATTGTAAACCTGAACATTTACCGTCAATGAAGCCTGGTGCAGCTGTAGTTGTGCATGAGTCTGACTAAATGCAAGTGCTACAATCAATCGTATGTGAGTGTACACAGAGATGAGTGGTCTGAATAGGAAAATAATAGCCAGTAATACCAGAAGCCAGAAGATAAAGGCATGTTTTGTTTGTTAAACATCTGTCTCTCCCCTTACTAATAAGTGAGCACTCCATCCATGTACTGTGTTAAAGCCATCTGTGTCAAATCAGCACTGTTGGCAATAAAAGGTGTGCAACGGCAAAATCTTACTGTAAATATTTCAAACCAAAACACAGCAAAAGACTCTATCACAATCAATTTAGAATTCTAAAGTTATTTTAAGAGATTGGTTTTTACATTTCAAAACAAATGTTTTTCTGTTTTCAAAGTAAGGGAGGTGGGGTAGCTCCCCAGGAAAACTGCACAGCTAAACATGGAATGAGGTTATCTGACAAAGAATTGTTGGACACAATTATTTGAGCAATCCCACCTGAGCTTGCTGTTGCCTGGGCCGTAGTGGAAGGATGATGTGTGGCGGCTGAGGGAGGCGGGGGTTTTGATTACAGACTCGAGGGAAGGGCTCTTCCTCATAAAGCTGTTATGTTTCAAGTCTTCCCTGTAGCCTGACAACTTACCTGGGGTTTGAAGGACAAAGTAAATTGACTGAGTCACAGTCAACAGTGAGTCAGAAACAGAGGGATCATACAGTATTTTATAAGGCACATTGAGAAATCACACTGTACGATGTTTTACATAAAAGTGAACTGCGACAAAATGTATGAGTAAGGTATAGACATCCACGAACAGGGCATAAAAAGAGTCAGGGAACAAACAGAAATGGGTGGATATCATATCACTTTTCATTTTCAGCCTAGTCTTCAAAACACTCACACTCTCTATAGTGTAGTCACTGTCTGTTCAAAGACACCTGAAAAGTAATGTGTACACAAAGTTAAAAAAATCTATTCCAGAAAAGCAAGCATTCAAATAAGATCAGACGCTTAATGGAATCTTTCAGTCTACTTGTTGCTGTAAACAGCTCAGTTTATTAAAAAATCTTTTCTGACCAGTGCTTTAATGCTCAAGTTACTGAATATGCCTTACTGAACTCAGGGGAGGAGCCGCGCCATCAACCACCTACAAAAACTATTTCAGAATGTAGCAAGTTCTAGTTCCTATGCAGCTAACTTTCTCTGTAGACAAAATACAATTTACTTTTGTCAGCCTTACTAATTTATAAAGGCACTGACTGTCTGGCTGGCTGCCCATTGACCAAGAAGCAGTGCATAACATACAGTTCACGTACAACTGCTAAATGACACAAGGATATGCAGTAAATGTAGATTAAGCATCTTGACTACAGACCCCAAAGCATCTATGTGTTACTGTACATACCACAAGGATGAGAAAATTCTCCTCGACTGATTCTTTTTTCCAACGTCTTTGACAGTGGCTTTATGTACGAGTGTCTCTAAAAGAACATAAAACATATGACGAATCATATGTCTTTTTAATTTTTTAACTAAATGTTTTTTAACAACTGGCTGCATACCTGGATAGGGGAGACAGCAGCAGCAGGTGCAGTGTGTACAGGGATCCCACTCAGCAGGCTTCTTGGTGAGGAATGCACTGGAACTGTGTGACCTGATCCATCTGAGAGACCAAATAATATACAACACCCACTGATTAGTCTATGAAAAGCGAACAGATTTCTAGCAGAGTTGGTTACAGATAAAGTACACTGTTCCTCCAGTTAAAATAACATTAAAGCATCTTTTTGCAAAGGTGTGTTACACATAATAAAAGGTCAATAGAAAATGATGCCTTCATGTCTTCAGTATAAGCCAACAGCTGATAATACACAAATAAATGTGCCAAAAAATGGGTGAGCATTCCAGTTAACTGATGTAAATAATACAAAGAGTAAAAAGAGACAATAAAGTGAGAGCAGTATTAAAATGCTAGAAACTGAAGTATAAAAAACCCGAAGCACATTTTGAATAGTAAAATGTTTGTAGATTCAGTACCAATAGTTGTCATGTACCCATAGCACAAACCACACACACACAAAGTGCACATTCATCAGTGTCAGAGATTTATCCAACAACATTTATCCATCTTATTCTACTGACAAACACAGAGAAGCCCTCTAACTGGTCAGAGGTCACTTCAGGCCACAGGGACCCAGACAACTGTACAGAACTGTGCTGCAGAGAAATGACATATCCACATTGGAGAGCTTACCAGCTGTACTCCTATATGGTCACACTGCTGTAGTGGGGTTCCCTCTTAGAATATGTGTGTGTGTGTGTGTGTGTGTTGAGGTGCACACTCTGTCCAACAGTATCAAAAGATTTAATGAGGGACTTGACAGTAGCTCCGGGATCTGAGTCAACATCTCCACTGGCATCAGTGGTTGCGGTCGGGATCACGAAGGTGCTGCACCAGTGATGGCTGTTATCGGAATAGGACTCCCTCATCTCCCCGCCTTGAGACCTAACAGACAAAATGAACAGAGTTTCTGTGTCACGACATAATACACCTGGGGAAAGGTGAATCTGACGAGACGGCACATCTACTGGACTTAGAAAACCCTCACTTTAGCATGTTTCTTCTAAGATTACCTGCTGATTAGAATGAATGATTTAAAAAGGTGGATTGTTGTGTATTGACAAGAACGTGTTATCAAAGTTTGAAGTACACAACTGTCAATAACTGATGACCAGTTGCAGACAGAAAGATCGAGATTTAGAAAAAGTCTAAGCCACTTAACCATCAAGACACTTTAAAACCACTGACCCAGGTGAACATTGGATCTTAGGGTGAGGGATTTGGATTATGTTTATCAGTGACAGATGAGGAATGAATGAAAACAAAGTAATTTTTGTCTTAAACATTGCACTAACCACAGTTGGACTGGTGTAATTTCATTTATTCTTTGACTTAAACAACAGTCAGACATACAGGTACAGTACACTTTCAGTGATTCCTTTCCACACATAAAACCAGTCTAGGTCTTTTGTCGAACAATAAAGTAATATCATATTCACTTTATTGTTCATTAAATGCCTTTACTACATACAAAAAAGTATCACACTGTCACCATCCTATCTTTATCTAGATGTTTTGGGTGTATCCAAATGCTGACACTTTGAGCACAGTACCTAATTATCTGGTAATTATTTGGCTTTTAATAAAAATGCACAAACTGAATATCTCAGAATCAGAATCAGAATTATCTGTGATAAAAGCTGGACTACAAGTAGAATCTGGATGGTCTGGGATCCTGATACCACATGCATTTATTATTATAGCAATAAAATTCAGTATGGGTTTGGCTCAAACACATAATATATTTCAAAATGAGTGACATCACAAAATTGTAATATCTAATACATTAAATATTTAGAAATGGAAGGAAATCTCTAAATATACTCAACATATGAGGATGTATTTGAGCCTTGAGTTACTTCTGAGGTTCAGATAAAAGGTTCACATAGATACTATATTAATTTGGTGATATTAAATTAGAAAAAATAGTAACAATCCCTCTTCTTGGTCTTTAAGCTAAAATGGACCTTCAGCCTCTAGGCTGGTTTAAGGAGGAAATAAAATGAGGTACATCTGTGTATGTGTCTGTTCTAAAATCAGATTTTGGCAGTGATCTGGTCCCCAGCATGGCCAACCTCAAAATCACCCAGGTTATCTGGTGGAAAGAACAAAAACTTTACATTACTGTGTAAATTTAATACAGTCAAACAGAAACAGAGCATACGATACCAGTATGTCCCTGTGAAAGTAACCACAAAGTAAGTAACATGAACAGTGTTTCATATGCCATCAAATGGCTACACGTGGCACTTCAGTGAGGTGTGTTTCAACTACAGAACTCAACCCAATATTAGGTCTTAAAATAAAGAGGTTTTGTTTTTTCATTGATAAATCATAAGGTCAAAATTTTAAGTAAGAGAAAAGAGGTCAAAGTTAAAGTACTATGGCTGATACAGAAAGAATAAGAACCTAAGTTTTGAATAAACTCAACGGGCCTTTCAATACTGCTGCATGTCTCTAGCCTTAAAATTGATTTTGTGATGTTACAAGTCTGTTATGTTTGGTAGAATGCTGGGAATCTTAGCTGCTTCAGTTTTGACACTGGCTGAACATTTACTGGTATTTTTCATTCTTCCCTCTGTTTCGTACTCCTTGTAACTGGTTGTACACTTTCTATTTTCTAAACTCTCTGAAAGGCACAGAGCAGCTTTGCACAGTATAAAAAAGAGTCTCTCAAACATATGGTATTTCTTCAACACAAGTCAAGAGAATTACAATATAAAGAATACATTAATTGAAAAATAAAAATACATTATTTTTGTTATTTAAATGTTCTAAAGGGCTACCAGGTTCAGTGTCACGAAACTCTGGTCACTCTGGGTCCTGATTTACCACATTACATTTTGAATGATACAGAAAGCTAATAAGTGCAACAATAACACTGTCTTCATGTGGTGCCAAGGTGCAGGGCACGTCTCTAGTGTCCTTCTACTGCTGTCATCGTACCGCTGTCAAATGTGGCTCCGGAGTTTATTCTGAAAAGAAAACAAGAGGAAAGATGAACTACTGCACAGAGCCACTGTAGAGAGACATTCTTTAAACATTTACCTGTGCAGCAAAATGAGGGACTTCACTTTTCTTCTGAACATTGTCATTATGAAATGCAGTCCTCTGGACTTGTTGAAACTCTGTTCTATGCATATGTAATTGAATTAATAAGGGTCACTCATTATGTCAAGTATGACTAAATCACCTGATGATGAAGATGCTATATGTAAGTATCTGAAGCGGATGATGCATAGCATGAGTTTGACCCAATCATGCTGTGCAGACCATCCTGCTACATCCATCTACAAAAGGTATGATGGGTTATTCATTCACAGAACAGCAGGTGGCACCAGATACGAGTACTGGGAAGGTTGAAAGAACCAGGCAAAGCAAATCAAAAAGGTTTGACATCCTCAAGGTGAAGTCAGCTGGCACATAGAAAGACAGAAAGAGCAGGACAGGCTGAAGCAGCAAAACGAAGCCAAGTACAAATAGGGTGGTCAGTGAGCAGCAGCACACAGGGCAGGAAGAGGCAGGCTGGCAGGGCAGGGGACTCACCTGGACTTTATATAGGGAGGCTTGTCAGAGGGACATCTTTGACAGAGTCATCACAGGGAACTGCTTGAGGTGGTGAGCGGAGGCAGCATAACAGCTAATCTTGGGGAAAGTTCACTGATTCAGCCATGGTCTACAACCAGTATTATGATGTGCTATATTCATAAAGTGGGCAAGAAAACTGATCAGAAGACATATTTGGTTTTAAACCAAATATTTCTTATATACTAAAACTGCGCTTGTGAGGGTTGTGAGGTGATCGAGTATGAATGAAAATGTTCCAAGTGGAAATCATTTTGAGATTATCTTGCTTAAAGGATTCTACTATACTGGCCACACAGAAACAAAGTGCTCTACTGCAATAACAGAACCAAGCTGACTTTGCCAGAGGGAAATAATAATGAAAGGGGACAACACTGTCAAATACACTATGGCATTTGCACGCTCAAGCATACTTATACACTGTACTGTATATTCACACACAAACCAAAGCAACACTCTTTGTAAATACATCAATCACAATACTGCACAGCCATAGTGCAACAAAACTACATGAAATCTTAGAGTATGATATATTGGCATGAACTATTTTCACTGGTAAGTGCAGAGAGGACATTGTTACGTCAGTTTCAGACTACTGAAACACAGACTCAGCAGTATGTCTTCCTGGTATATGAGGCTTGAATGTTACTATAGTGCAATGGTCAGTGTGGAAGAGGGAGACAGAGAGGGCAGCAGCTTAAAGGAGTAGAATACACAAAGGGAAATACCACAAGACATTGCTCATTTACCAGCAGAGTCTGCCACATGCCAGGAAGCTAAACTCTGAAACTACAAGGATGTAATACTATGAAACATAAAGATATGAACTTAACAATATCTAAACTACAAGCTATCCCGCTTTGATACCAGGAATGGTGGAAACTTCTTGTACCACATGTTTAATACAACACTGAATATGGATATGGCAGGACTCTGGCAGGCATGTCATAACCACATTGTGTTGAGAGAGGAAGGAACTGCAGCCCGATGCTAAACAAGGGGAGCGGGGTGGGGGACTGAAAGGTGTAGTATGGTGGAGATAGTACCTGACACCTTGCAGGGCTTCCAGGTCTGCAGAGAGCTTTGCATTGCGATCCCGCTCCTCCTGCAGCTGTCTCCGGATTGTACGTAGCTCCTGCTGAGCCTCCACCTTGATGTCATTGGCCACCACCACTGCTGTCTGGAGGTCTGCCTGGAACCGGCGCCACTCCTCTTTTTCATCCTAAAGACACAAGCATATAAGATGCACCGTAGCGGCAGGTGCACATGTAGACACATAAGGGCTAGTTCACATAGTCAGTAATCATCAACTGAAATGAGCGAATAGATTTAGTTGAATATGTGCAGTAATTGGTCCTAAAATTATGTGTGTTTATTTGAGGATAATAACTTTGTTGTAACTAAGACTGTGTTGGCCCTACCACAGTGGATTAATGACAGTGACAACCTCTCCACTGACACTATAAGCAGTGTTTCTTCACACTGGGACTGCCAAATATTTCCAAACATTAGCAGAAGTGCCAGAGTTACACTGACTTGGATGCTATCATCTAAAGCAGTGGTCCCCAACCCCCGGGCCGCGGACCGGTACCGGTCCGTGGATCAATTGATACCGGGCCGCACAAGAAATCATTAATTATTTCCGTTTTATTTATTATCTGAGTCTGAACGATCTTTTATTTTGAAAAATGACTGCATTCCCTCGGTTACATCTCGGTCACTTGAGCGCCATAAAAGTTTAAATCAATCTCAATCATTATAGTTGTGACACTTTAAATTAACATTTGTCAAAACACATTTTATAACCTTTTTTTTTGACTGTCTCTCTCAACTATTGGGTCACTTAAATAATTAGATACCTAGCTAACTTAGCTGAACTATCTACAACAACAGAACACAGAATCAGTTTGCAAGGCTGCACAAGCCATTAAAAGTAGTAGTTTGCTGATAAATCCCACTGTTCCCTACAGAAGACAATGAATCTGAATCGACTGTTTGGAACTATCTGAAGCTACATGAGTCACGTGACCTGCTGAAATTTTTGACCCTGCAGTGTGGCAACCCTTCTATCTTAAGATAGGGCCCCACAATTCACATTTTATTAATAGAGAAGTGGAAATAAAACCTTATTCCAAACCAAATTTCAGAAAAAAAAATGGAAAACCCCTAAGGCTCAGAGGAACCATCTCAAGATATTAAAAAACACAAACATACTTCTTGGATTTGACCTACAATAGGGAGATAGAACAACATGTGCACTCTGAAGTAAAGGAAAAAACATGCAGGCCTATATCCAGTTTTGTAAGGGCAAAAACTGCTACCAGGCAGATTGTTTTTTTGGCTATGTACAGTAGCTTCAACATTAAAGGTCTGTGGGGGCTGTGGCTCATGAGGTAGGGCAGTCGTCTCCTGACCAGCAAGTTGGTGGTTCGACTCCCGGTCTCCCCGCATGCCTAAGTGTCCCTGAGCAAGACACTGAACCCCGAATTGCTCCTGGTGGCTTGACTAGCGCCGGTGCATGGCAGCTTGTCGTCATCAGTGTGTGAATGTTGTGTGTGAATGGGTGAATGGTGTATCATCTCTGTAAAGCGCTTTGGCCAGTGCAACACACTGTGAGAAAGCGCTATATAAAATACAGTCCATTTACCATTTTACCATTTACAGTACAGGATCTGATTTTCTACAGGGGTACCTTAACTTAATAATCTCTTGGGGATTCTTGTCTTTTAGACAAGACTGTCAAATCTTATTTTCAGGCCAGTACACGAAGAAATAAAAGGAAGGTCACTGAGGGAGCACTGCACAAAATGAATAAAAATGAGGTCACAGTGACATCCAGGAAGATGCTCTGTGGCGCATTTGATAGTATCCTTTGTAAAGAAAACCATCAATCAGAAGTGACGGTCATAGAAGCATGGAGAAAATCAGTGACAACCAAAAATTACGTGTCTGCTTGTCTGAGCAGTCAGCTGCATGCTCCAGAGTGCTATTGGAACAATGCTCGGTGGAAAGATGCCTCCAAGGTCTAACATATTGGCAAAAAGTCAGGGAAAAACTGAGCACTAGAGTATCATAACCATAAACTGGTACTCCACCCAGGACTTCTTTTGAGTAACTCTAATTCACCCATGCAGGAATGAAGGACGGTATAAAACAAAGTGGTTAGTGGAATTCAGCCAGTAACAGTTAATAATGTTAATTTATGGCAGAAAAGGGCATCAAAACCTCGAAATCAGCTTTTCAATCAACAAATGAAACATAATCCACTGTTCTGCTGCCCATCGCATACTCTCACAATGTTCCAGACATTTCTCAGTATGGCTTCTGTAAATTCACTGCTTCTGTGTCTTCCTTGAAGCTCTGAGACCAGAAGCAGCACATTTTAAATCCCAGTTTGAGGCTTCGATTTCAGTACACTGCTCAAGGTAGATAAGACAAAATAAAATAATGGGAGATTTGATGTAACAAATGTTTGACAGTATGTCACAATAATATGGTGCATGCCCAAAATAATGTAGCTAAGTAAGTTATCAGGACATTCCAGATTTGAAACTGTTGAGACTGTATAGTTCTTAAAGCTTTCTTACCTTCATCTGTCGACTCAAGGTTTTCAGTTGTTGCTCTGCCTCAGCTTTTTGCTCCTCCAGCTTTTTGACAAGATCTGCAATGACAAATTCAAGGTCTTTGAGAACCACCTCCCAAACTTGGCACTTTAGACTCAGGCATAATTTTACAGTTTACACTGCATAGTTTTCAGTATGGTGGAGATACAGCATAAAGGATTATATAAAAGAAACAGTCATTTCTGGACAGTACTGGATATTTCTGGAAATGTTTCTTAGCGCAGTCAGAATGATAAACCATCATCTGCAAAGAGCTGTAACAGGTTGTGGAAAAAGTGATGTGTCTATCTACACAACATTTGCCAACTTCACTAACAGGAGGTTAGACAGATGTGTTAAAGTATGCATTTATTTTGCATTTCAATTTTAATTTCTAATTTCAATTTATTGTCCTTTAGGAAATTCTTTGTGTGTATATGGCAACTATCATGTAGGGACATTATACATTAACACCTACATTACACATTAACACAACCCATACAGACATCACACATAACACAATAAACCATCATTCAAGAGTTCAAGTTTAGTAAATTTATACTGGGGGGTATGAAAGATCTCTGGGCAGGGGTACTCTGCAACAGCAGTACCCAGTATCTTCGCCCTGATGGTAACAACTCATATTCACTACATGAGGATGCGATATGTCCCTAATAATTGCCCAGGCCTTCCTCAAAGCATGGGACTCACAAAGCACTGTCACACTGTGATGCTCGGCTGCAATTTTACTGGACATATTAACACGTTTTTTTCTTATTACTTGCAGACAGTGAGAAATACCAAGCAATAAAGCAAAAATGTTATAATACTCTCTACAAAGGAATGAAGTCTATCCACATCAAACTGTGACATATAATCACTTAATATACATTCAGTTGCCAGTTTATAAGGTTAGATATACTTTATGGAACAATTAGCTTCAACTAATGCAGTTTAATAACAAACAATGAATTCTACCTTTATGAAAATTAACATTGTTCAGTTTTTGTTGGAACTCTTTAAAGAGGTACTGATTTAGCTTTAAGGTAATTTATACATTTATATAAATGAAAATAGGCTAAATATTAGGGTAGGGTAAGACTTCACTGATCCAACAATGGGGAAATTCCAGTGTTCCAGCAGCATTAGAAAGCACACAACAAACCAAAACAGTACAAGAACAACAAAACACCATAGAGACCTCAGAGAACCAAATCAAAGGCACCTAAAAACAAGACAAAACTAGCACTTGGGAGAAATCAAGAACAAGAATATTACTCCCACAATTAGTTCCACAATGGGGAAAAACCCTGTATATCAACAGCAGTAGAGACTAAACAACAGACACCATAAGAACCGCAGACACCGCAAGGATCTCTGAAAAACAAATCAAGGATACCCAAGAACAAGACAGTACAAGCATTTCAGAGAAATCAGGAACAAGATATCACTCCCACAGTCAATCCTACAGACAGAGCACTCTGTGATCAGAGGGGGAGGGGCAGAAGTGTATGCATTCCTGGCATTAGCATACAGTAGGTCCAGAGTTTTTTTATTGTCCTTTTATTAAAAAATACTGATTCATTGCTCTAGTGTGCATGTGGTTCCCTGATAGACTAGTGGTTAGGATGCAACGCTCTCGCCGCTGCGGCCCGTGGTCGAGCTAGGGTTGCATCAGGAAGGGCATTCGGCGTAAAACACGTGCCAAATGTCAACATGTAAGTGTGATGATTCGCTATGGCGACCCCTAATGGGGAAAAAGCCAAAAGTGACATTTATTGCTCTAGTTTGCATCAAAGACTGCAGGTTAAGCCTCTAGAGCCACAGAGAAGTTGAACAGCCAAATGAAATGAACATACTCTCCATGTCCAGGACAGCTTGCTTGGTGTGGCAGTTGACGGCCCTCTGCTGTTCTACCTGGTCCTCCAGTTCAAAGATGGTGTCATTCAGCTCCTTCACCCGGTTCTCAGCCTGAATCCCAGCAGCCTCTAGAGAAGTCACCTGGCTACTGAGCTCCTGGTCCCTCCTCTCAGCCCGCTCCTGAGCCTGCTGGAACCTGGCCTCCACCTGCGTATGTGTGCACATTTGTGAGATTATGGTGGGTTTTAGAGAAATGGGTTTAAATAAATAAATAAATAAAGAGGCTGTGTGTTTCATGTTAAAGTAATTGCTGGTTGTCACTATTCTGATTAGATGGATGCACTTAAGTCACCTTTGGTCCAACAGAGGATAATTTATGATGTTTTCCAGACATCTTTGTGGTGAAGCATTTCCATTTAATCTTGATGGCATTTTTCAACATCTGTATCTTTCCAGTGATTAGATTAAAGATGCTGTCCACAAATGGGTAGTATGAAAGCAAGATTTTTCAGCATCAGTACATGAAGAAGAAAAACAGTATGTGTGAGGAAGCCACAAACCATAACACAACTGAAGTAGCCTCAATTATATTATAGTATTTGTCTGATATGTTACACTGTTTGGTCTGATGAAAACAAAATTAATATTAGTTTTCATTTACTGCAAAAAAGTAACTGAAGCAATTCTAAACTGGCCTTAATAAACTGCATGCTTTGCAATGTGACTACTACAAATTAGTATATATTGCACAGATTTTTCCACTCTAGCTTCCACATCCATTTAAGTTCTTAAAGTTCCGGTTGCTAATCATGACTAAAATCAAAATAGAAACACAGGTAAATGTAGATATCCAAGTGAATGATAACAGACTGTATAAAATATGCTGGGATCCAAACAGTATTGTTTACACAACCCTGTCTGACAATGAGGCGTTGGCTATAGTGTAAACTGGTGTCAGGCAAGGTGACTGTGACTCATGGAAATAAGAGTTCAGGCCAGATTAGACTTGACAGCATCACCAATTCTTTCCAACCATTAAAGCTTAAGTCAGTGTACCATGATGACTGCAGTCATCCCAAGAGACGACACTCTGAAGCAGATCTCTGTAAGCATGCAGGACACTTTCCAACTGACACCATGTGGTTCTGATAGATTAGGATATTGGTGAGTAAATTTGTGGAGTTTTCTCAGCTAACACCCATGTGGCAGAGAACAGTGGTGTGACTCAAAGGGTCACACACTGCCGGAGCACCCTACTGTTGGCACCACAAGTCAAGTCAACAATTGCTATGATGGTGACATGCCCCGGCTTGGAGCAACAACCAATATTATCACAAACGCACACTTTCTCAGTTTCTCTAGTGTTTGGGGTGTGGAAGGGAAAACAAGTGAAACCAATGAATGGACATGAATTCATGTGTTATGTGGTGGTGAAGAAACAAACCAATGCCAGCTGTAACCCTGTTGATTATTCAAATCATTGTGGGAGAGGTTCTTGTTCACTTTCAATAGGTAGTGAGTCAAGCATTATAAACAATGTCATGGTCACCCATTTGACTCAAGTTTCCTAATATTTATTAACACAGGTATTGCTATAGAAACAACTATTTAAACTAAATTGAAAATGAAAGCATTACAAGTGAATTTGTGGAATTCCTTAAAACTGTCTAATACAACACAACTATTGGGTTAATCGAGAAGAAAAGCTTTTTGAACATGTAGAGTCATATAATTCAAGCCCTGGATTATACACACACCACTTGGTACAATACAATGGAAGCAACCAAGTGGACAATATGTGAATAGTGCATTCTCTAACCAGAACAGTCTAGTTGTAAACACACTCATAAGTATGTGCTTACAACATTTGTCTCCAAACAAACAAGGTTCCAATCAATAAGTATTTCCTAAAGAACAAAACAATGAAACCAAGTTGTAACCTTGCATCCCTCCTACCTTTGACATTGTTGTTCGCACATGCTCAGTCTCAGCCCGTGCCTGAAGCAGCTCCTGCCTAAGCTCCGTCAGCTCCACCTCCAGCCTGTCTCTCTCAGTGTGGGCTGTCTTCAGCAGACTCTGCAGCTCAGTGCTGTCACTGGCACTCTGCATGGCCTTCAGCTCACCCAACTTTTGTCTCTCAATATCCACCTGTGCCTTTAGTCTACTGTTTTCCAGTCTGAGACAGTCTGCTGTTGCCTTCTGGTCCTCTGCAGCTTGTGCTGCCTGATTTCCCACTTCCAGCTCCCTGTCCAGCTGGATCTGCAGCCTGTCCACCTCTTGTCTGAGACAGCACACTTGGCCCTGGGCCTCCTGGTGCTCCTCTTCCAGAGCCCGCAGGCTGCCCGTCAGCTGCTGCTGGATGTCCACCAGCTTCTCCCGTTCAAAGCGTGAGCTCTCCACCAGCTCGGCATACCTCTGCTCCAGCTCTGCCAGCCGAGGCCCTTGGCTACCCAGCTCCTCCTCTCTCTGGGCCTGTGTGTGGGCTTGCTCTTGAAGTCGGACAACCAGTGCCTCATTCTTCTTGCCCAGCACCTCTAGACACTCCCTCTGCTGTTGAAGTGAGGTCTGCAGGAGGTCCTTCTCCTCTGTTAGACGCTCATTCTCAGCTGTCAGTTCCTGCACCACTTGCTGCTGGTCAGCCAGCTCCTGGAGAGTTGCCTGCAGCTCCTCTGCCGTGCTGTGGTGGCTCTCCTCCATTTTGTGAATCTTTTCTGTTAGGCTCTGCACTGCCAAATCCTGTTCTACTGCAATGGTTACTTCCCTAGCTGCAATGGATATACCACTGACACCGCTGCTCACTGATTCTGAGTGTGATGGGATCTTCTCAAACTCTGAGGAGTCAGGAGATGGTGAGTCTTTGGTGATGTCAGAGCTGGAAGACAGAGAGGTTTTGAGTGGGCTGGCAGTAGAAGAAAGACTTTCCTGTTGTGGAGCCGAGGAGCTGGAGTCTGATGGCAGGACATTCAACAGAGGCTTGGGGGGGATGCTTGTGTTTGTATTAAAGAGAGAAGAAGCCTCCAAGCAAAGCAGCTTTTCCTTCAGCGCTTGGTTCTCCTCCCTGAGAGCTGCTAACTCTCTCTGAAACTTGCTGTTCTTCTCCCTGAGCTCCCTAACCAGTACAAGGGCCTCTGCCACTTGTCCCTGCTCTTGATCTGCAGTATGCTCTTGGTGTGAAACAGAGCTGGGTGGGGATGAAGAGGAAGCAGAGGCTTTATCATTGCAGTGCTGCAGCTCCATCCTGAGATTGCTGATCACTAAGTCTTTAGCCTTAGCCTCAGCCAGCAGCTCCTTCACCTGACACTCCAGACTCTGGTCCTCTGCACCTCCACGGGACTTGGTTGTACTACGTGTCTGCTTTGCTAGGGTGGAGAGGCTAGAAGTGCTGGCACTAGAAACTATCCTCTTATTGGAAGAGCTCCTTATCTGGTCCCTAAGAGAGATACGATCTCTGTTTATGGTTGAAGGGATTTCTCTAGGGGCTGGGATACCAGATTTCTTGGCTGTTTGCACACCTGCAACACAGACAACAACAAAAGCACAGTGTTTAAGTATTTAAATAATTAAGTCCAAATTTACTTAGTCCATTCACAAGGCAGCTGATGGAGCTGTAAATACAATGTTCAAAAGGTTTTTGATGCAATTCACTATTTTAGCTAACTAGCCACTGACACAAATGGCAGACTGACTGACTCCAGGTTAATGAGTCTCAAAAGCTTTTTAAATTATATGAAGCAACTGTAGATGAAAAAACAATCCTTACATTATTAATTTCCAGTTATATAAAAAATAAATATTGCAAGCCTTATAATAACAATGGATACTTTTACAGAATAACCATAAAGTCATTATATGTTAATCAAATTGGCAAACTGTAAACATCCTCTTGGACTGCAAATGTGGTCCCAGTGGTGATACAACACAGATACATTCCAGTTTACAGTCAAGAAATTCTTAATTAGCAACTCATGTTGCTCATGAAGGATAAAACTTTTCTCAGTGAAATACCTGTATAGCAGGCTTGTAACTTAAAAGGGGAGGTTAATGGAATCAGCATACTGATGTGCTGAGACCATGAATCTGTTAACGCCGTGTAATGACACTAATGAATAGACAGTGTGTCACATTCAGATACTTGTATTACCCAGCGTTTTCGTGTTGCCAGTCACTGTACCCTTTTCATATATTGTTCTCTGTTTGGACAACAGAGCATCTGACTGGCACTGTTTGTCTCTTGCTGTCTGGCTTAAAAAGACACCAGCTTGGGCCACTGGCACGAGCCTTTTCCAGACTCCTCTCAAATATAAAGAGTATTTACTGATGCCCAGTGTAAGCTGGCTGTTGCCTGAAAACATTTTATTGTTTTTCTTCTGATCATCAGTAAACAGCAATGCCGACACAAAGTGGTTGCCTGTTTCAGAGTAATGACAAGGTCATCCCTGTACACAAGGAGCATTCAGGCACAAAGCAGCTTAGGCAGTGCACCAATACAGTGCTCTCTCTCACATCCATATACTGTATCATCATTAAACAGACAGCCTGTGTGGAGCGATAGACTATGCATCAGCCTGAGCATCATACACACACTTACAGGACTCACATTTGCACATATACACACATTCTTGCATACAGAGAAAATCCACAATCAAGTGGCCTAGTTTGGAATAGAAATCCTATACCCCAGGGGGTTCTTTAAGTACTCTGCCATTAATAGGCACTTTGCACAAATTATGTCTTTGTTGAATAAACTGGTGACTATGGCAGGAGCTGCCAACATTGGCACAATGTCTGGGCTACAGAGCAGTTTAACATTCCCAGAATGTTCAGCTGTGATTGAGAAAGTGTGGTGCTTTAAACAGAGAGGTTAAGAGACACATTGCTGCTATAAATGTAAAAACATTAATATACAGATTTAAAACAACTTTACAATGATAATCAAAACACAAAGGTTAAGATTTACAAAAAAATCAGAATGACATTCAGCTGCATCTGCTCTGATTGTCACTGTGATTAGGCTCTTAGTTTAACAAATAGACTCCAAGGGATGTGGTCATTTAAATTCACATAAACAAACAGATGAATTTATTACTGGTCAGGCCTACACTTCAAAGATTCAGAGTGCCATTAAAAATCTATAGTCACTTTTCTTTGCACTTCACAGAGGATGAACCCATGACTGACAGAATGAGGACAACATACAATCCTAAATCATGTACAGTCACATGGAAGCTGTTAAGACCAAGTCAGCACTGTGTGTTATAAATGACTGTTTACTGTGCACTGCAGGAAACATAACTCAGACGGGGCAAAGAAAAACAGAAACACCTAATAGCTCATGCCTTTTTTCTGACCACTTGTCATATTCTCATTTTGGGTGGCAACAAAGAAAAGGACAAGAGGTCCTCGTTACAAATAGAAAGGAGTCCGATGTGATTAAGATCAGCCCAGAAAAGATTCCAGGAGCCAATACACTTTTTATTTGCTGTTCTTTTATATTTTGTTTTCTTCTTGCTCTTAGAGAATAAAACCCAGATGGAGCACATGAACTCTCATCTTTCACCCACCTCTTTAACATCAGCACAGCCGCTTTGAGTAAGAAATGACACCAGTACAAATGCCAGTACATGCAAAATTGCAGGATCCCGAAGAGCCACTAGAACAGTGTGTCACAGAGTTATGAGAGCCTCTGAAATGGATCATAAAGCCTTATTACAGAGCTGTGCATTCTCTACAATTATTAATGGATAAAGTCTACCATATAGTATGAGTTACACTTACTTAAAAGTTGTTGAGTGTTTTTTAACATACCCAGAAAGAAAACTGTAAAACAATCATTTCCACAACTGGCCAAATGTTGGCTAGACAATATTATAACAATAAGAATACAGATCTCACCACCTCGGAGACTATATCAATGCGTCTCAAGGCAATACAAAAAAATACCACATTAGACAACCTGTTTCAAAGACCAGCACAACAGCTGCAGAATGTTTGTTACTTAAATTTTCACATCATCAAATGTCCATTAGTTTGCCAAACAAAGTGCCAGTTCCTTCCACTGTCCAAAGACATGTGGCTTAGGTTGATTGGTGACTCTAAATTGCCCGTAGGAGTGAATGTGTGTGTGTGTGTGTGTGTGTGTGTGTGGGTTTGTCTTTATATACTTGTGCGACCCAACCCCTGACGGAACACCTTTCTTCTGTGGACATTTCTTCTTGTGTGGACCTTTTGGGTGGTCCACACAAGGAAAATGCTAGGATAGGCTCCTTTCATCCTAAAGAATGATCTGTCTAAGTTTCAGAAGATGTCCACATACAGAGAGTAAAGTCAGAAAAATGTGTGCCAGCTTGTGCTCTTGTGCCCCCCTATTGCCCCCTATCCAGTGGTGCAGTCAAAATATGATTTACAGGGAGGAGACACAATCCAATTTTCTGATTGGCTAAGGCTGGGAAATTTTGTGATTGGCCATTATCTACATTTATTTTATCATATGCATGCAAAAATGCAATAAAATAAAGTATCATGCTCTGATTAAATACTGCTCAAGCTGTAATCATGCATTACTGCCTGTGTCTCTAAAAGGGCACAGACAGGGCAGCTTAGAAGTGGGTGGCAAACAAACAATATCAAACACCTGGAGCTTGAGTCTCACCTTCAACTAATATTGCATTAAATGCATGCCTCAACACTGCGGAGACTGCAGTAGCACCACAATCGGTGTGCTAAGAGATACGACGAGGAGAGAGCTGAATTAGACGATCCATCCTGGTTACTTCTTCTCTTTAAGGGTCCTCCAAAAGCAAGACGTCAAAGATGGCATCTGAATCATCTCAACTTTCAGACGGTATGAACATGTTTTGGGTCATGCGAGGAGCACTATGGAATAAAATATTGCATTATCTGATAAGACGATGATTCGTGGTTAATAGTGAGGTGATGTGTTCTTCTGCTGCAGAAGAATCAGACATGCTGACTCAACAGGCCTCAGCTACAGCACCATCACACAAGCTCAAAAGGACAGAGAAAACAGGTACTGCTCAGTTCTCAGACTTGAGTAGTGTTAATTACA